TTGTATGTTTGTCAATAGAGAGTATTCAATCCATTGTATGTACGCATCACATACGTTCTCTGTATTACTCCACGACTTCATAATAAATAAATCCAAAGACTTATTGCCTGTAGTCCAATCAACAGGTCTTGGTGCTTTACAACCATAACAGAATGCATTCAACTTTGGTTCTAATGGATATGTACATGCCAGACATAATGCATATCCCCAACGTCCCTTTATTAGGCAATACTTTTGTTTACTTGCATCATATGTGAATCCGATGGTAACCCAAACATCCGTGGTAAGAATATCTGGACATAACTAGTGGAAACGATGTATAATAATAAGTCAATAATTATTCAAACTATTCAGTAAATATGACACATAAGTAAATAGTTTACCTCGGCGTAATATACATTATGTGTCTCGTCTGTTATCTCAAGTGGAATCAATTTCATCCTTGCATAAGTAGGTAGCCCACCCAGGTACGTATCTCCATTCATACTACCAATGCAATCATATGGAATCCATTCCAAATAGGAATCATTTGCAGAGTTTGTTTGTAATTGAGATTTCTTGATAAACTTATCGAGTTGTTTATTGTTGCTAGTCCATCCATCGGATAATTGTTTGTGTCCACAAATGCACCACACGGGACTACATCGGAGTATTCCACATGCGGAGCAGAAATCATATCGAGAATAGCAATAGCCAAACTCTCTATCAGCAACCATGTAATAGTTATCATCATACTTGGTAAACCCCGTTATTAGGTTGTTGCGACCCTCAAGCCATATTTTGTATCGTCTAAAGTGACTGACTTTATCATTATATTTGTCTGTCGGAAGTGAGTATATTCTAGCAAACTCGCTCACGAACGTTGGTGTACATATTTCGTCATTTCCCAATAATAAAAGCATTATCATCGTCTCCTCGACTGTACCATCATCCCGCCGTGTACGTTTGCGAATAGCGTAATTAATGTTGTCGATTTGACTTGACTCTATGTCGGTAATTTCAGAGTAAGGAATCCATTTTTTATTCCTAGTTGCGATCAAGTTGGCAATTGCTTGATTTTGAATATCCTTAACTAATACTAACGACATATTTGAATAAGAAAGTTTTCAACAACAATTTCGGAGACAACAACCATTGTGTTACATCGCACACATTATTACGCACGTGACTGTAGCTCTATCGCCTGAGTTTGGATACCAAAGCATAAAAAATATAACAATCTGTCAGCAATTAAAAGTACAGATACAAAAAAAAGTCTAGCAGTTATGTGTTAGTTAAGCAAGCTCTTTAAGACACATAGGAAGAGCGACACGCTATCTGAGGCGGGATATAACCAAAATTATATTGGTTTGACGTTTCCACTGATTTATCTAAACGCTGAATATGTATCTTACTGTATTTCATTTCTTGCTCTATAATTTATTGTTTAGTTGGACAATTGAACACTGACAAATACTGTGAGACAACATGTCCAAGAACTTGACACGTAGAATGCAAACTATATTCATACATTATGCTACAATTCCGATCTGACATACACATACAACACTATCATACGCGTGGCTTATCGGACTTGTTAACCAGTGAAAAACGTGTTTATTGTATTCTATTGGTTTTAACAACATTTGGCGTTTCCACTGATTCATGTAAGCGCTGAATTATCTTGCTCTATAAGTTATTGTTTACTGCGTGTACGTACACTAGGATGCCCGTTTATGCTTCCTATTGGTTGACAATCGCAGACTCTCACACTCCTTACTGCATATGACAGCAATTGACAATATCAAGGAGTACCAACATGTATCATCTTCCACGCGTCCACGCTGTTATATTGTATCGCACGGGTGCTTTTGTTATTGATATTATCACTATCATAAGAATCAGTTTAATTAAATTTATACGCGTGACTTGTCACCAGCGAAAAATATTTTACTGCGACTCACGATTGTTTTCCGTAAATAAGAACAATAGTATCAGTGTCACATCCGGAGCGATATGATGCAATGTGTGTTACACTAGGCAATATATTTATGCTTTACTGTGATCGTTGTGGCTGACTCACACTCCTTACTGCATAAATCACGACAATATTTATACTTATAAGGTCACGCACGACAACAATATCTCCCTTGCTGCTACTACTCCATATTACGCACGCAACACTATTTTTTTGTCCGAGCCATATATCCCTATAAAAACGATATGTCTGAAACTAATACACCAGCTTCTACCTCTACTTTCGCTACTGCAACGAAAGAAAAAAAAGTTCCAACTGAGGTGGTTTGAAAATATCAAACGGATGAACTTATCAATTTCTTGCGTGAGGAGGGCTTGGCGCGTAGCGAGACGGCTATAAAAATTCTAGAAAAGGAAGAAATTACAGGTAGTGCCTTTCTCGAGATGACTGAAGAGAAGTTTCGCAGTCTTGGAATGCCAGCTGGACCCGCTTCAGACCTTGCCGACTTCGCTAAAGAACTTGGCAAGCATAAATTAAAGTCATTCTCGTTTTACAAACCCAGAAAGACCTGAGTGAGGTGCTGGAGAAATATGAGATCGCTGGTGGGGATATAACTCTCATTCCACAGTTCATACCACGTAAGTAAAATCAGGTTAATGTTTTTTTAATATATTTCGAGCTCACATATCATAATATAGCCACCCACACGATCGATAAAAGTGCCCCCAAATTTAAGCTATGCATTGACGACATTCTCCGTAGAATAAAAAATATGGGACCAGTTGTAGATAGTAACAAAGCTATGCGGTGCGAGTACATTTCAACAATCTTACATACCGCTGTAAGTCTTTTCGACGGTTTGGTAATCACACCTCAGTCGAATATAATTGGCGAAGAAAACACTGGTCGTGTTGACTTACAATCAAAAAAATTATAAGCGAATTATTATTAGAGAAAATAATTTGCATAACCGAGGGCAAACAAAATCAGGCGACTTTGGGTATCTGCCAAAACTTACTACAATGTCAAAGTGCATCCGATGTAAGTATTACTTTGCTTATTGCGGGTTAATCATGGGCATTACTAACTTTATTCCCCAGATGAATGTATATATGAACAAGAAAAAGCGAAAGGTCGATGAAGCGTTCGATCCCGATTATGATTACGTCTATGGTATAGTCAGTACTGGGACCGACTGGTTCTTTATTCTTCACAGCACCGAGGGCATCTATAGTACGAGCAGGGTTGAATACCGAATTTCACTGACAGAAGACGCTCTCAAAGATGATACAAAATTGCGTAAGAGTGTGAAGAGGGTTTTAGAAGTGATCGTAGGATTATTAAAGGATAGAACAGTAGGTAGTGAGGAACCCGCAATTAAGAAGCGTCGTGTAGAAGAGATAATCAAGGAAGAATAGAGATTTATGGGGCGGTGTAAGTCATTAACATAGAAACGTCATGATGTATCACGGCAATGTCCCGAGCTTTGTATCTTTTGTTTTTAATAAAATTTTTCTTGGCAATTTCTCGAGACCACAAACCTGGTAACTTCTATTTTTCTTGGTAAATGGCACAATTTCTATATCTACTAACTAACTTTTGAATATTTCACGATACTTCAAATTCCCAACGTCGGGAATTAGTGATAAATGCACATTCTCCTTATTCTCCGCAAATGCACGCACGTAGTCCGATCTGTTAAGTCGCCAAACGTGGCATGATTACATCAGGCCTTCTAACAAATAAATTAACTGTCGTAATAACTATTTAAGAAGGATACATTTGCGTAATTATTATCGTAACAATTTGTTAACTAATTGCTAGCCTGATAATTATAATTATAATAAAACCTCGCCTTTCAATAAACGCCATACTTTTACCATGCCTCAAAAGTAAGATTATTTGATCAGATGTTCAAAATACGAGCTTTATCTGTATGTTTACGATAATGATAAAAGTTGAACAGAATTGTTAACTGGGTTGAAAACAATGGGGAAGTCAGAGTTAATGAATCTACAAAAGAACAAGTGAACATGGCAAACATTCTTGAAAGGTATGTAAATATGATGCGACAGACAAGCATAGATCCAAAATATCATCATTTAATGATAGGGAAAGTTGACTGTACTGTTAACTTTATATATATAATGTTTACGGTATAAAACAAGCCGTTGCAAACTCTGCTTTAATATTGACAAACATTATAAATCGATGTGTACCAAGCGATTGTTGCTGCTAACCAATCTACATTTTCATAATTGGTTGAAAAATTGCATTATTTGCATCACCTTTTCCCAAGTAAAATTCA